GTCCTGCTCTACTGTAATTTAACTCAGGAATAATTACAAAAAGGCCCACTATTTTCTGAATAGCTAACCAGAATGTAGATGTGAAACTAGCCAGTGCATTGAGCTACTGAAACTGCTGATAGAGGCATACAAAGCCAAAGCAATGTGCATTTTATCTGTTTGTTTATACCTCATGACTTCATTATTGAAGTACTGTGAATAATACTGCTGCCCTTATTCTTGACAGATCGTACAGGATCATCCCTTTGTTTTAAATATAGACTGCTTGAAACCTGCACTGCTTTTGAAGAAAACAAAACCAGCTGATCTGCCCTACCATATGGTCATATGGAGAAGCAAAGTGTCTTTAGATTACATTTATTTCTGCCTTAGTGAGAGAGAATATTCAATTATTAAATTGCCATTCCTTTCAGTCCAACTCTCTGAACCCTATCTTCATTTTCAGACAAAAACTTAGCTGAAATTACTTTTCAATTTTCAACTGCTGCTTTCTGAGAGTCCATATTCCCCCTGGCATCACAAGCCAAAAATATATCACATATTCCCCTGCTATCCATACAGTAACGTTTACAAACATGAATATGAATGCTTCCGAGTGCCATGGCAAACATAGCGAGAAGTGCACAAATGAGTGTGTAATTACCTATTTTGTTTGCCTGTGGTTTACTCTCAGTGCCACAATCAATTACTCTGCCCTCAGAAATTATAAATAATGAGCAAAGCTGGAGGCTAAAAAGATTGTTGGAGAGTGGATTCAATACTTCACCTCCAAGAGAATGGGAAAAAAAGCTGAAATAAAATGGATACAGTAATGAGTCCCCTGTTGTATCTTGTTATGTCAAGACACATCCTACTGAACTACTTCTTTTCACCTTGGCAAATATATTTTTACGTCCACGCAGCAAGATTTATCACAACATACTACACTTACCACATAACACTTCTAACTTTTTATCTTGAGTGCCTGTTGAGTTGAAAATCTCAAAAGAGAGGTCATACTGTCATGTTTGGTTTGAGTAAAGCTTGTACCTAGAGCACAACTGAAGTCAGCCTGAGTGTTTCTAATGATAAATAAAAAGAAAACATACGAAAAGGTATTTTTTAATGGAATGCGATAGGAAGCACGGGCACAGGAAAGCCCGGAAAGCGTCATAAAACAGAGAGGCAAGAATTTTTGGACCCTGAAGTCAAAAAATAGGCAAATAGGAAAACCCTGTAGGGAACAAAGACAAACTGAGAGCTGAAATATGCAAAGAAATTGGTGTAGGCTGTGGGCAACACAGAGGGGCCCATTCTGGTGAGCAGAATCAACTTGACTGCACTGTGGCTATGGCTGAGGTTGGCAGACTAATTAACCAGAGTAGATAAGACACAGAAATACAAGAAAAGCCAAGGAAAATAGAGATGTAAAAAATATATAACTACACAAAAACAATAGAAAAAAAGAAAACATTCAAACGATTAACTAGGGTAAAACTGCAAAGAACTACAGTATAACCATAGGGGATTACAGGTGCTGGTCATAAAATTAGAATATCATGAAAAAGTAGATTGATTTCAGTAATTCCATTTAAAAAGTGAAACTTGTATATTATATTCATACATTACATACAAACTCATATATTTCAGATGTTTATTTTGTTTAATTTTGATGATTACAAATGACAACAAATGAAAATCTCAAATTCATCATATCAGAAAATTAGAATATTGTGAAAAGGTTCAAAATTGATGGCCCCTGGTGCCACACTCTAATCAGCTAATTAACTCAAACCACCTGCAAAAGCCTTTAAATGGTCTTTCAGTCTAGTTCTATAGGCTACACAATCATGGGGAAGACTGCTGACTTGACAGTTGTCCAAAAGACGACCATCGACACCTTGCACAAGGAGGGCAAGACACAAAAGGTCATCGCTAAAGAGGCTGGCTGTTCACAGAGCTCAGTGTCCAAGCACATTAATAGAGAGGCGAAGGGAAGGAAAAGATGTGGTCGAAAAAAGTGTACAAGCAAGAGAGATAACCGCACCCTGGAGAGGATTGTGAAACAAAACCCCTTCAAAAATGTGGGGGAGATTCACAAAGAGTGGACTGCAGCTGGAGTGAGTGCTTCAAGAACCACCACACACAGACGTATGAAAGACATGGGTTTCTGCTGTCGCATTCCTTGTGTCAAGCCACTCTTGAACCACAGACAGCGTCAGAAGCGTCTTGCCTGGGCTAAAGAGAAACAGGACTGGACTGCTGGTGAGTGGTCCAAAGTCATGTTCTCTGATGAAAGTAAATTTTGCATTTCCTTTGGAAATCAAGGTCCCAGAGTCTGGAGGAAAAGAAGAGAGGCACTTCATCCACATTGCTTGAAGTCCAGTGTAAAGTTTCCACAGTCAGTGATGGTTTGGGGTGCCATGTCATCTGCTGGTGTTGGTCCATTGTGTTTTCTGAGGTCCAGGGTCAACGCAGCCACATACCAGGAAGTTTTAGAGCACTTCATGCTTCCTGCAGCTGACCAACTTTTTGGAGATGCAGATTTCATTTTCCAACAGGACTTGGCACCTGCACACAGTGCCAAAGCTACCAGTACCTGGTTGAAGGACCATGGTATCCCTGTTCTTAATTGGCCACCAAACTCTCCTGACCTTAACCCCATAGAAAATCTATGGGGTATTGTGAAGAAGAAGATGCAATACACCAGACCCAACAATTCAGAAGAGCTAAAAGCCACTATTAGAGCAACCTGGGCTATCATAACACCTGAGCAGTGCCACAGACTGATCGACTCCATGCCACGCCGCATTGCTGCAGTAATACAGGCCAAAGGAGGCCCAACTAAATACTGAGTGCTGTACATGCTCATACTTTTCATGTTCATACTTTTCAGTTGGCCAACATTTCTATAAATCCTTTGTTTTTATTGGTCTTCAGTAATATTCTAATTTTCTGATATGATGAATTTGAGATTTTCATTTGTTGTCATTTGTAATCATCAAAATTAAACAAAATAAACATCTGAAATATATGAGTTTGTATGTAATGTATGAATATAATATACAAGTTTCACTTTTTAAATGGAATTACTGAAATCAATCTACTTTTTCATGATATTCTAATTTTATGACCAGCACCTGTAAACTTGCACCATAGAATAAAGAGAAAAATAAAAAAAATTTAAATTATATACACAAAAGAATATCCAGACTTCTTAAAGGTGGGCTGCATCATCATCTTACAAAACCAATGCCACTAAGGTCATGCTTGGTTTGAGTAAGGCTCGTACCTAGAGCACAACTGAAGTCAGGAGTGTTTTCCCTTGGTGTTTTCCCCTATTTTTAGAACCAGTCTTTAAAAACACATTGGTTTTGGAAGTCAAATACACTGTGTGTTCCCATGAGATATGAAATAGAAGTTAAAACTACAGGTAGTAGTACATCTGCCAAGAAAGAAGAGGACATGCATTAGGGTTTAGTATTCACTAGCTGCTTTTGGCAAAAATCAAAGGGGAAAAACCAAACATGGTGAGGAAAATAACCAAATCCTTTGGTACAGTAGTCAAGGTTTAGTTGTCCCTTCCTCCAATCACATCTATTATACAGCTCAAACTCTGGGGTGAATTTCCTATTGTTGCTGTGTTTTTAAAATGTGGGTAGCTGCATTGATTTCTGACACCCAGGCAATGGTAACTAGCAGATGAAATGGCAGGCTATAACTCTGCTGGGCTGTTTAATTAGTAAACCAAAGAAGAAATCAAACTAGAAGCAAAATCAATGGTTGGGAAAAATGCAATATGGTGCACACACACACAGTGTGGTATAATCATTCCTACCCAACAACCATTGTATATCTGATGACAGATGAAGTAATCAGCACCATGTAAAGAGAAAACTAGCGGATTTTTACAGCAGCGGCTTTTAGAAACTCCCTTTCTTAGTTCGTCACACTCTAAGCAATCACTTTAAAGCATTTCATTGCAATTATAAAAATTGAAAAATACATGGGTTTTACATGTTTTTAATTAAAAATCTGACAACTTGGGTATGAATTTGTAATCAACCAACCTAAATCATAGTATATAGAACATACTTTTTGTGTAATCACAGATGCAACTTTACAGGATGTCATTCTTAACCTTGCATGAAAGCTGAAAACTGGGGATATCTGTATGTTCACATACATACCAGAATATATCTTGTCCCATTCTCACTGTAACTGTTTGAGCATAGCATTAAAATGTCACTTCTAGAGAGGTTTGAGGAGGAATTCTTATAGGTTTCCTATAACCTTTTTTTAATGAAGGGTACACTTGTGTGGTTCAGAACTTACAGATATTCTGTCAGTCTGTGTTTAAGTTTCTCTGTTATTGCAGCTTAAGATGATACATGAGCAGTGCTCAGTGAGATGTTCAAAGTCTCCCTGACCGGCGTCTTCATGATTCCCTGTTTATTAATGTCTACTAGTAAATGTCTCATGCCTACACATGAACACAGGATTTATAATGAGAACAAATTACACATAGATGTATTTTATATAATAACATAGCCACTTCTAAAAGTAGTTGGGGGCGTAGGATTATATTTAGTGGGATCAAACTGATGGTTGCAGAAATAAATTTATGCTGCATGGCAACTTTTTGAATCAGTATTAGTAAACTTAAAAACCATGTTAAAGGAAAATGCCCACATTATAAATTCAAATTTTTTCTCCTCAGTAAAGTATGTATATATATATATATATATATATATATATATATATATATATATATATATATATATATATATATATATATATATATATATATATATATATATATATATATATATATACATATACATATATATATATATGTATATGTATGTATAAAACAAAAAACAGTTTTTAAATAAACTAGATGAGCAGTAAATAAATTCACAATATTATGTTTCTTGAAGCCCCTTTGTACCTTCCAGAGAAGGTACAAAAGGGCCTCATAGGCTCAGTTTTGATCTCAGTTAAGATCAAAGGAGGGATACCTGAAGAGATGGAAGCCAAGCCAAACACGTCAGGTTGCCGGTTGGGGGCTACAGGTTCATACGGAGATGAATCCTCCATATCTCCACCTGAAACATCAAAGGAATAATATTTATCACTACCAAAGCAGTTCAAGTGACACTATTCATGCTGCATCAAAAAATAAACACCTTCGTTTTGTCAGGTGTTTTCCCCAAGGCCCTTTAAATAGCAATTATCATACCACTGTTGAAGAATGAGCAAATTGGACAGGTTGCTACTGCAGAACTGCACTCCTCCCCTTCATCATGAAGATTATTGACAAAGCTGCATTTCAGCAGTTGAAAGGCTTTGACTGAGTAAATGTGGGGAAGCCAGTCATACTCACCATTGTACCAAGACTACCCTTGTCAAACTGCTCAGCGATATTCTTATAAACGCGGGCTTTATTTTTGGTATTATGGGACCTTCGAACAGCATTTCACATTTTTGATCATTCTACTTTATTACTCCGATGTTCCACTGCTTCACAGCTGTAGACCGGCTCCTGCCAGGCACACCTGGGGCATTTTCAGAGTTAAATGATTCTGCATGCTTGGACTCAGATCACATCACATTTGCATTATCACCTTGCCTAAGTCTACTTGCAGGTTTTAAATAGAACAACAAAGTAGTAGTGTTTATTTTGCCAGTATAGTCTTATACACGTGTTCTTATCTAATCACTTCACATTTTCTTCTCTGGACCTATCAAAGATATATGAGTTACATGTTTCTCATTTTCAGTTGTTATTTCATTTATGTACCCATAGTTACAATAATTATGCAGACAATATGCAGCTAAACATAATGCTGTGACTGGGTGACTGTGTGCTCATTCAAGCAGTGTGTACATGCAAAGAGGAAATTGACCCATAGATGTGGCAGAATTTAATCAAAACTGAAGTTTCTGGTGAAGATTATCAGTCATCAAGATCATAGTCAATAAAAAAAAAGTTAAAAAACAAAACTACTGGACAATCTTTTGAGGACCAAAATGTTGACATTTTGGACAAAGAGTCCAAAATTGCATGGTGATCTGAAAGGGGTGTAAAGGAAGCCATTTATGTTAAGAGAGAAAAACCAAAATTAAACAGAGGAGGACTCAGGTTTCAGTTCTCGAAAACCTATAGCGCAGCTTTAGAATTGATTCCTTCTCACTATCATCTCAATCCGCATTGCCATACAGGTGGTCAGAACATTGCTCCAGTAAGCCAGGCCAATATCGACCCTAACGACTCCCAATTAGAAGGGCATGGGCCAGTTTTGGGTTAATCTGCAGGCCAACAAGAACCTCAACGACTCGCCATTACAAAAGGTTGGACCTTATTCAGTTCCATATGCATGTTTTCTAAGCCATAACAAGGCTTTTGTTTGGCTATTCTATAAAGCCTGGAGATCCACACTACTCCAGACATTTTGAATTTAGAACGCTTTTTGGATGGGAAGAACAACCTTGGAAAAAAAGGCTATTGCAAAGTTGAAGTTATAATTTCTGGACCAAATCAAGCCATGCGTTTATTTTTAGTAGAATTCATTACTGCACTAGTGTCTGCACAGGTCTGTGTAAAAGCTTGATCAGACAGCTAAAAGCTGCTGCCCACGTCCTCACTAAAAGGAAAGTAGAGCACATCCTCCCCAGTTCTGAAATGATTAGCTCCTGTTATCTGAGTGAATAGACTTTAGAATACTTCTATTAGTTTATAAATCAGTGATTGCTTGTCACCAAAATACATTATAAATCAGTTTATGAACTGGACAGACCCCTCAGGTCTTCTGACACAGTTCTACTCTGCATACCCAGAACCAGAACCACACATGTAGAAGCAGCTTAATGCTATACTAATACTAATACTAATACTAATCTAAAATTAAACCTGCTAAAAACTTAAATTGCTCTAAATCAACCGCAATGTATTTATTTAAACATCCATCCATTTTCTAGCACGCTTATCCCGAGTGGGGTCACAAGGGGTGCTGATGCCTACCTCCAGCAGTCAATGGGCAAGAGGTGGAGTACACCCTGGACAGATCGCTAGTCCATCACAGCACAGTCCAACAACCATTCACACACACACACCTAAGGAGAATTTAGAGAAGCCAATTAACCTAACAGTCATGTTTTTGGACTGAGGGAGGAAGCCGGAGTACCCGGAGAGAACCCACACATGCTCAGGGAGAACATGCAAACTCCATGCAGAAAGACACTGAGCCAGGAATCGAACCCAGAACCTTCTTGCTGCAAGGAAGCACTGCTACCCACTGCGCCACTGAGCAGCCTTCTATTAAAACAGTTAAAGGAAATATTACTTTGTTGTCCAACCTTTCTTTACCTGCCTCCATTGTGTCACTTCAATTACTTTCTTTTGTTAATTCAGAGCACTGAAATGTTCCCCACCATTCATAGCTTTGGAATGCAACTTGGATCACATTAACTACAGATAGTAAACATATGTGGTCATATTCACAACAAATAACCTTTACAGTCTCGAAGTGATCGGCCAAATTGGCATACATAGTGGATTTAAAGTGGACATTAGGTTCTAACAATTTGTTTTATTAAGTTCAGGCAAGGTCTTACATCTTGATCAAATGATTTCCTTTTCGCTTGCCAGGTTGTTCCTGTTGTTCGATTTAGGGAAACAACAACCAAACCAAAGCACAACCAATAGGTCTTAACAATGTATTGTAGGAGCAGTTTGTAAAAAATCAAATTAGCACTCAACTGACTGTCTCTCCCATGCGCTCGCTCCTCTGTGGGCTCTAATCCCACATTTAAAATTCATAGCCATTCTGTGTGATTGAGACAAACCCTCCAGTGTGTAATAGCTTTGCATTCTGATCCTAACAGAAACACAGTGCAGGTGTTGTGAGGATGCCTCTAAAGACTCCTGCTAGAGATGAGAAAATCTGAAATCTCCTGGAACACGGTTAAACTTCCAGAAAAACAAATCATTAGATATGATCAGTGCACAAAGTCCAATTCATCAACATAAAGCCCAGAAATGTTCATAGATGATAAAAAAAATTCATACAGTCTGCAGTGACTTTCTTGGTTAAGATATGTTTATCTTAGCTTGTTGAATGGTGTGTTGTAATTAATATGTTTTTAGTTTTTTTCTGCATGCAAGAAAGAATGACCCATGGGGCCATTTTGGTTCACCACTGACAAAGTAGTGAAATGTAATTGCAGAAAATAAGAAAAAAATATTTCATGGTTTATTGATTAAAGAAAATAATAAAACAAAGACAACCTTTATGTAAAGCTCTAGAGCTGAGTAAATAAATCAGAAGACATGACTCAAAAAGGACAGGATGAATGCATCAGAAAAACAGCCTCTAACAGGTGAAGGAGACCTCAAAATCTTAAGCTGCAATGGCTAGGATCCAAACGTAACTATAAGCCCAAAGGTTCTGTCTCCTGGTTTAGCAGCCGCAGAAAACATGAACAGCCAACAGCATGATGGCAGCAGCAATCTGGATACTGGCCAAGGAGTCAGGGTAGTGGCACCAGAAAAAGTCCTGCTTCATGTGAGCACTGCGCAAACAAACAAATGACCATTAAAAAGAGGCTGGACATTAGGAAAAAGAATAACCTGCCTCTATGGAGTTAATGTAGAGGAGTTTGGGCAAAAGAACATAAATCAGTAAAACAGCTAACAGGCTGATTTTGAACTCTGGAGGATCTGCAGGGATCATACGCTTATGAGGCAGAATCTGTTGACAGGACAACTATTAATCATGCATTCAGCAAATAGTGCCTTTATGAAAGAGTGGCTAAAAGAAAACCTCTGTTGAAAGAAACCAGGTTGTAATTTGCCATAGACGGGAACAGCAAACCTAAAAGAGAGTGCTTAATAAAACCAAAAAAATCTCTCAAGAAAACATCTGAAATATGATCATAACATCCTCATGTTTACATTTTGCAATTGCAGCATCTTTCAGTATGTATGCTTTTTTTCAGCAGGGACAGGGAAGCAGGTCAGAGGTGATGGGATGATGGATGAATGTAAATACAGGACGATACAAGGAAAAAGGCTCCAAAGTCTTCATAGTGGTGCAGAGGGTCCCTTTCCAGCATGACTATGGCCAAACTAATATAACTACAGCTATATTAGTTGGTTTTGGCTTGAATAAAATCCAAGTCTAAGTCAGAATCTATAGAAAAAAGAAAAAAAACATGCATAAAGTCTCTATTTCATTTAAGTGAGCTGGACCTATTTTCAAAGACGAATTTGGATTTTGGGGGGAGTAAAAATGCATAAGATCAAAAGAAGGAACTGTGGAAAAATAAACTGTAATATTATCTTCTAAAAAAATAGATGAACAAAACAACTTTTAACTCCAATGGGATTCATTCGTATTGAACAGCACTAAGTCATACTGTAATGCAAAATTTCATATTTTCATACATTTGTGCACATGAGAAAAATTCTTTATTATGTAACTCAGTTATGAATAAAATGCACAATTTATTTAAGTAAATTTAAGATATGCAACTGAATACATATTTATAGTATAAAGTAAACAAAACTTAAGCAATAAAACAGTTTAACACTTTAAATTATACTTTTGACGAATGTCTTAGGTTATTTTTAGATGCCTTTCTGTTGATGGTCTTTGATACTTTGAATTTTGCAAGTTAAGTCAAAGTACCTAACCAAAGACATGTAAACTTGGCGAGGTTGATTAATTTAGACAATGATACATTCTTTTATTATGTATTAATCATATTTTTAAATTGTTCTTGATTTTTGGCTAAAAGAAACTAGGTTTAACAGTAACATGCTAGACTCAGGCCTCCCGATCAACAGTCTTTAGTTATTCTATGTGGACTGTGGCCACTGGTTAGGAAAAAACATTGTTTCACTATTGTTTGCATCCCACCGGGAGCTGATGCTAATGAAGTATGAAGAGCTTTATGAGCTCATGGCAGATAAAGCACCCAGTGGTGTTTCATGTGATTGTGGAGAACTTTAATTACGTGAAACTGATGAACACTGCCCAGTTTTTACCAGGATGTCACCTTTCCCACGGAGAAGACAATGCATGTCCACTAACATTCACGGTGC